CTACTCCTCCGCCTCCCCCGCGCGGCCTTGTGAAGGTGAGCCTTGCCCTCCCTGCTGCATCTGCTGCATCTGCTGCATGCCCGCCTGCCGGCGCGCCCACGGAGGGGATGGGGCGGAGGAGGGGAGACATCGGACGCGCGCACGCCGTAGAAGGCGAACGCCTCCTCTCGATCGTGGAAGGCTCAACACGTTCTGGTTCGCTGCCGCTTGCGCCGGATCTTCCAAGATTCATCAGAATGTCTCCGGATGTTTCTGGGTTCGCTTCGACTTACTCAGGTTTGCATCAAACCGCGTCGACGTACATCGATGTATCTGGCTTTATCCCCGCAAGTCGATTGGGGCAGGGTCGTCACGCCATTGGTGGCCCGAGAAGATTGTTTCGTGGCGTTGACAGGCGGGCAGGCAAGATTATGATCTTCCCCCTCTTTCTTCTCCTCTTCCTCCCCCCTCCTCCGCCTCCTTCTCGTCCTGCTCCCCCCCTGCCTCCTCCTTCTACCTCCTCCTCCTCCTCCTCCTCCTCCTCCTCCTCCCTCCTCCCCCTCCTCCTCCCTCCTCCTCCTCCTCCTCTTCTTCCTCCTTCAATTCCTCCTCATTGCCATCCGCGCCCTCCTCCTTCTCCCGCTTCCCCTCCCCCTCCCCCTCCTCCTCCTCCTCCTCCTCCTCTCCTCCTCCTCCTTGTCTTCTTCCTCCTCCTCCTTGTCTTCTTCCTCCTCCTCCTCCTCCTCCTCCTAATCCTCCTCTTCCTCCTCCTCCTGCTGCTGCTGCTGCCTCTCCTCCTCCTCCTCCTCCTCCTCCTCCTCCTCCTTCCCCCCCCCCTTCTCCTCCCTTTCCCTCCTCCTCCTCCTCCTCCTCCTCGCCCTCCTCGCCCTCCTCGCCCTCCTCCCCCCTCCTCCTCCTCCTCCTCCCCCTCCTCCTCCTCCTCCTCCTCTTCCTCCTCATCGCCCTCCTCGCTTCCCTCCTTCTCCCCCTCCTCCTCCTCCTTCCGCCTCTGGAAGCAACAGACTGCCCCCTGGGGCTGGCAAGCCGAATCTGCAGTACAAATTAGTGACAGGCCTGCTGAGCAATGGCGCAGGTCCAGAGCAGGGCGAAACAGAATGGACAGACGATACTGTGCGAGAGTGTACTCGAGCCGGAGGGCTGCCACAAAGGACGGAACTGTGAGCCCATCACTGACGGACTGCCAAAACCTCTACTCGGACTGATTGACGCCGCTCCGCATTCAAGGAGAGCCTTCAAGCTTTGGCCCTCCCCTGCTGCCATCAGCTACCGTTTCGATGTAAACGAACGCGTGGACAAAGAACACTGTCAGAAAGTAAAGAGAGAGAGAGAGAGAGAGAGACAGAGAGAGAGAGAGAGAGAGAGAAACAGAGAGAAAGAGGAACCTAGAGAGAGAGAGAAAGAGAGAGAGAGAGAGAGAAACAACACAACTAGAGAACGAGAGAGAGAGAGAGAGAGAGAAAAAGGGAGAGAGAGAGAGAGAGAGAGAGAGAGGGCGAGAGAGATAGAGAGAGAGAGAGAGAGCGACAAAGAGCGATAATAAGGGAGATAGAGAGAAAGAGAGAGAGAGAGAGATAGAGAGAGATAGGGAGAGGCGTGTACACACACACGTGCATCTATGCATTCATATACACATACATACGCATCTACACCTATACCTATACGACCACCCTTCGGGTGATAAGGAGGTTCGGGGGGGAGGAACCAACGTCTCACTCGATCCGTCTCACTATCGATCTTACGATCGATCTCACTATCGGTCTCGCTCGATCGATCTGACTCGATCGATCTCCCAATCGATATCACTCGATCTATTTCATTCGATCGATCTCACAATCGATGACTATCGATTTCACAATCGATATCACTATCGATCTCACAATATATCACATATTCGGTCTCACTATCGATATCACTATCGATATCACAATCGATCTCACAATCAACGTCATCATCATCATCATCATCATCGTCATCGACATCATCGTCATCATCGTCATCAACATCATCAGCATCATCATCATTATCATCATCATCATCATCATCATCGGGACACCATCATCATCATCACCTCATCACGACAACGGCAGACACGATGATGACAGTAGCGATGCTGGTGACAACGATGCTGGTGACGACGGCGCCGATGCTGATCACGCCGGTGACGATCATGGTGTCCACGTGTCGGCGACGAAGGTTTTGGAACAATTTCGACATGCGCGCGCGGCCGACGGGCGCGAGTGGCGCGCCTGGTATTATTTGGCAGGTCGTGCCCCCCCCAGTACGCGAATGATTTCGACATGCGCGCGCGAAGTGGCCCGCTTGGTCGCATCTGATGAAAATCTTGAGAACCCGGTGGTGTTCTTAAGAATCCGCACGAGCGCGCAGACTTTTTTCGAATAGTGTTGTCGCAAAACCATACGGTTCGTTTTACATGTTTTCGGGGCACTCGATTTTGCTATCCTTACGACGCGAAAAGGTGCTTGAGTGACTTCGACATGCGCGCGTGACGACGCGCGCGTGTGCACTTCGCCCCGTATTTTGCAAGGGGTTCTTGAAAACTAATGAAATTGGATAACCAAATGTGCGCACATAGTTTTTGACGAGAATGAGGGGGGCCGATGCCGGCCTGGGTGGGATGGTATGAATTCATATTTGGAATGAGCGGCGGGGCAGAGTCCAATTTTACTTGCACATCGCCAGGGGAGAATGATCAGTCGGGTGGGGTTGGAGGGTGGTAGATCCGAAATCATTTTGGGAAAAGCGGTGCAGTCTATGTGGCGCACTGAATGTGGTGTATTTCATGTTGTTCAACATCTGTTGTGCGAAATCTGTTGTGCAATCTATGTGGTGCGGGGGTGCAAGACATGTGGTGTAATAGATGCTGTGCAATAGATGTTGTGCAGTCTATGTGGTGCAACCTCACTGTGCCACGACGGCGAGCACGGACCCGCCAGACCGACACCCAGGCGTAGACGACAAGCGGCGACGAGGCGGCGACGGCGAGCACGGACCCGCCAGACCGACACCCGAGCCCAGATGACGGGCGGCGACGAGTCGGCGACGGGGCGGCGACGGCGAGCACGGAGCCGCCAGACCGACACCCGGGTCAAGACGAGTCGGCGGCGACAAGGCGGCGACGGGGCAGCGACGGCGCCACGGAGCCGCCAGGCCGACACCCAGTCCCACCTCCGTAGAACAAAAGCAAGAAGCACTAAGTGCAAGTGCTGTTTGGGCAATGACAGTAACAGGAAAGACGCATGCGTGTAAATCCATACACACACATACACATGATATACGTGTACAATAAAAGAGATAAAAGGAGAGGTATGCAATCTTCGGGCGTCCCCACCGGGCTGGATGTCATCGGGGCAGTCCGGCCGCTGTACGGCGAGCCCACAGGGCTGTCCCCCACCTCGGCAAGCCATCCCGATCAAGACGCGGGGGCCAGGGTCGGCGAGCCATGAAGCGGAGACAGCCTCGCTGCCGTCTTCTCGGGAAGACTGCCCCGCCCGTGTCCTGCCCCACCTCCCCCGCACCGTCGCAGGATTGCTCCCTCGGCGAGCGAAGCCAGAGCCGACCTCGCTCCCGCCAACCCCTTCACCCTCCGCCACTGTTCGCCAAGAGCGAGCCGCCACCCCAATGCCTCGTATGACCGGTTGCGACAAGAATGGTCACGACCGGAACAGCCGCGAAAGCAACCGTGGGTGGCAGCGGCGGCGGCAGCAGCAATATGCCTGGACGCTATTGGCGGTCGAGCTTGGCCGCTGGCAGCTGTTTCTGAACATCTTATGACGATGAGTGTGAGACTGCCCATGGTCTTGGCTATGAAAAAATAAATGCGAACATATCTCTCGCCTTATGAACTCTTGTGAACTCCATACTCTCTTTTGAAGCTTGAACGCTGACGGAATCTTTTCATGACCCACTGGCGGAACGCAGATGCTGGTCCGACCCCGCACCCCCTACTCCCAACTATTACGCCTTATCCTGTGACGGCGTTCTTCCTTTCGAGTGTCTTCGCTACCCTCGGTCATTCACCACCATGAATAAGAAGAGCAGTCTGAAGAAGCAATGCCAGTTCTGTCCGCGGGCTGTGGTCTCAACTTAATTCTCACCATCTTTTGAACGTTGCATCGTTGCGAGAACACCACGCACGGAATAAGCTTTGACCCAGCTCGGCCAATCATATTCTGCGGTGCACATGGACTCGGGAGAGCCAACTTGTGTGTGTGTGTGTGTGTGCATCTGGAGCATGTAAAACTCACGTGCGCAAGACATTGCGGTACTCCAAGGGCGTCCCGCAAGCAAGGGCCGGCTGAGCGAGCGGCCATCGACCGCGCGCCCCGGGCCGGGCTGCCGAAGTCCATGTGCCCCCCGCGGCTGTCGTAGCCCAGCTGCCCCCCCTGGCTCGCGGGGCTCTCTGGCTGCGCTCAACTGTGCCATCCACGTTGCTGCCTCGTCATCGGTTTGGGGCCCCATGCACTGCCACGGTTCACTGGGCCCAGCATCAGGAAACAAATGGGGGTCTAAACGGCTTCACGCGAGGACGCTACCATCGGCATCTTGGGCCCGATCACACCCCAGTGAGGTCCCTGCATCAGGTGAGGGGCGTGCCAATTGTGGATTGCGGACAGCGACGCCGCCAAGGCGAAAGCGTCCCGCAAGAAATCAGCAATCTTCCAATGCTGATGCCGCTGTCTCTGCTGCCTCCTGCGTCGACCGATCACGCTCGCCTACGTATGTCCCAGCCCAAGCGTGCAGCTTTCTGAATGTCTTCTCTACGTGCATATATATATATATATACACACATACACATCGACAAACTTTCGAACGTCCGCGCGAAATTCTTGGATCGGCGCTTGACCCTCCTCCCGCAAGCATTTTTCCTTCTTCGACTCTCAATTGCCATCGCCATCTACAACAACATTAAACCACAATCGGCCCACAGAGTCCTTCAGGGATCCACCCTGACCAATGCTTTGAGCCGCGTCCTGCCGTTGCGACGAGAACGCCGCAAAACGCCCAGAAGTCCTGGAATCGAAGACGTTGTCGCTATCGTTGTCGCTGCCGTCGTCGGAGTCGTCATTGTGCTCCGTCGTCCGTCACCGTCGTCGTCGTCGCCGTCGCCATCGTCCGTCGTCGTCGTCGTCGTTGCTCCGTCATCACGTCGTCGTCGTCGTCGTCGTCGTTGCTCCGTCATCTCGTCGTCGTCGTCGTCGTCGTCGTCGTTCCGTCGTTCCGTCGTTCCGTAGTCGTCGTCGTCGTCGTCGTCGTCGTCGTCGTCGTCGTCGTCGTCGTCGTCGTCGTCGTCGTCGTCGTCGTCGTCGTCGTCGTCGTGTCGTCTCGTGCAGACGTCGGCGTGCTGCTGGCCGGTGGATTCACCATGGCGGCGCCGGCCGCACGCGCGCTGAGGGGGCGGCAGCGGGGAGGGCCCCGAGACACATCTCGAGGCGGCGCGGGCGCCGGAGGCACCCAGACTCGAGGTTCGAAGACGCACGTTCCTGTTGAAGCGGAGAGCTCCGCGAAAGCACTGCCGTGGATATATACGTTCGTCGCCCGTGGCCTCCTCCTCCCTTCCTTGCCGCTGCTCACGGGCAGCGTTCAAGGGGGGGAGGGGCCCAGGAGGGTATACGTCGAGCCCGAATCGGCGACATACTGCCGACGGATCGGCTACATGGCCCCGATGGCTCTGCCCACGGTGGCGAAGCCGCACGCTCTATCGGGGCCCCTTCGGCGAAGAATGGGCGATTGCGGGTCGAATCGGCGACAGACTGCCGGCAGATCGGCTACATGGCCCCGATGGCTCTGCCCACGGCGGCGACGCCGCACGCCCCTGGGCTGTGTGGGGGCTATCGGGGCCCCTCTGGCGAGGACTGGGCGATTGGGGGCCGATGCGCCCCCCCCTTGAGCCTGCCCTGCCCTACCTTTGCTCGTGATCAGGGCCTCCAGGAGGAGGAGGAGGAGGAGGAGGAGGAGGAGGAGGAGGAGGAGGAGGAGGAGGAGGAGGAGGAGGAGGAGGAGGAGGAAAGGGAGGAGAGGAAGGAGGAACGGGAGGATTTTTGGATTGCGACGCTGTTGAAGCACATGGCCTGTCAGCAAAGACTGGCGCGCAGCTGGCAGAGATGACTGCGGACGCTCTGCACGGGCACCTAAGGTGAAAGGACAGGACAGTCAGTGCACCGTCAGGCAGTGCACCGTGGTCAGGTCAGCGGCAGTGGCACACAAGCGCAGGGCGGTCCCGGACCGGTGCTGGCGACGCGGCCCTGATCGCCAAAACAATTCAATCCAGACTGTACGTGTACAAGGGAAGGAGGAGCACGTGCAGCACTCGTGCGCCTGGAGGACAGGGAGGAGAGGAAGGAGCAGGAGAAGGACGAGGAGGAGGAGGAGGAGGAGGAGGACTCTGGAAGGGGCCCAGGGACACACGGATAAATGCACACACATCCCAGGATTCCCAATACTTCTTCATATCTTGTGGATTTTCGTCTTCGCCCCCACTTCCCTTGTTTTCCCACATTTTCCTGGGGATCGACGATTCATGGTGTATGTGTGTTTTTCCCCTCCTGATAACTTTGCTCGTGATCTGGGCCTCCAGGAACCTCTGGAGGACGCTGGAGGTCGCGCCAGCAGCTCTGGGGACATCTTGGAGCTGCGGCAGACCTCGGGAGGACTCCGAGCACAGACCTCCGAGATGTGTGTTTTTCTTACTCGGCGTCTTCTCCTCGATCTCAGGAAGAGGAGGAGGAGGAGGAATAATGACCTTGACGATCAAACTTGACGGGGATTGGAGTAGTTTTCAACAAGCAAACAGCGCACCTCCGCTAAGTGTCACTGATAGCGCTATTGCCCCTTCCGCAAGGAAGGAGGAGGACGAGGAGGAGGAGGCGCTCCGCGAAGACAAGCGTGGGTGCGAACAGTCATCCAACAATTTGTATGCGCGTGCTCGACCACCAAGACGGATCGGTCTGGCAGAACCGACACATTCCATGGGGGCGCCATTGCTGTTGCTTGCGTCGTTGGAAGCGGATGCGGATGATTTGGATCATGGTGCATACCTTTCCCGCTGCTTCCGCAATTCCTGGACAATAGCATGAAAGTGCCGACTAAGAGCAGGGCGGGGCACGCTGTACCAAGTATCTTCTCACTTCAAGCGCCACCAGACCACCATCAGACACATCAAAACACTCCTTTCAAAGGAGACCTCCTCACCCTTAACCCCTTCGTATATCCCCCTCCTCCTCCTCCTCCTCCTCCTCCTCCTCCTTACCCATCCCTCTTCCCTTGAAGCAACGTGCTCACTCATGCTCGGGACGCCGGTGCTGGCGCCTGCACAACTCCTTACCCCCGCCACCTTTCACACCCTTTCTCCGTGCCGGCCGAGTCCATGCACCTCTCCTTCTCTCGTTGTTCCCCCTCCAACAGTTTTTTTTTTTTTGTGTTTCTTTTTTTTCCCCAAAGAACAAACCTTCAAGGGAACTCCGGAACCTCGTGGGTGCCCTGGGCCACGCTGCCGTGGTAGCTGCTCCCGCTGCTGCTGCCCAGACCTCTGTCGTCGCGATTCTTTCAAGTGGTCCCCCGAGGTCTGGACCTTTTCCCCGATTCGACCTTTCTCCTGAAATGTTGTTTGACGGTCCTGGTGGCCTGGTGAGGGCTCCCATGGGGGCGGGTTCGCCGTGCGGACCCTGTAACTAAGCCATCGGCGGAGCCCTCTATGGGGCCACGAATTGCGCGAAGGGCATGCCGCATTGGGAGCGGGTGCGCCATGCGGACCCTGCTGCTGAAGCCTTCGTTGGGGCTCCGTAGGGGGTCTCCAAGTGTGTGAACGGTGTGCCGTAACGAGCCGGCACCGCCGTGCGGATCCTGGCGTTGGGCCTTGCTTGGAGCTCCCTATGGGGCCACGAAGCCTTCTGAGGGGTGTGCCGACAAGGGGGGGCGCCGCCATTCGGACCCTGGCATTTGGGCTTGAGCTGGCGCTCCCCATGGGGCCACGAAGCCTTCTGAGGGGTGTGCCGAAAGGAGGCGGCGCCGCCATGCGGACACTCGCATTGGGCCTTCGTTCGAGATCCCCAAAAATGGGGCCACGACGCGTGCGAATGGTGTGCCGAAATGAGGCGGCGCCGCCATGCGGACCCTGGCAGTTGGGCCTTAGCTGGAGCTCCCTATGGGGCCACGACGCGTGTGTGTATGTGTGTGTATGTGTGTGTGTGTGTGTGTGCGTGTGCGTGTGTCGGAATCGGCTGGCGCCGCCATGCGGACCCTGGCATGTGAGTCTTAGTTGGAGCTGCCCGTAGGGCCACGAAGCGTGTGAGGGGTGTGTCGACATGGGGCGGCGGCGCCGTCATGGGGACCCTGGCATTTGGGCCTGCGTTGGAGCTCCCTATGGGGCCACGACGCGTACGAGGGGTGCGCCGAAGTGGGGCGGCGCTGGCATGTGGACCCTGGCATTTGGGCTGAGTCTGCGCTCCTGCTGGGGCCACGAAGCGTGTGCAAGGTGCGTCGACATGGGGCGGCGCCGGCATGCGGACCCCGGCATCTGGGCCCTCGCTGGAGCTCCCCTAGGGGCCCACGAAGCATGCGAGGGGTGTGCCAAAATGAGGCAGCGCCGCCATGCGGACCCTGGCATGTGGGCTCAGGCCACGAGGCGTATGAGAGGCGTGCCGACATGAGGCGGTGCCGTCATGTGGACCTTGGCATTTGAGCCTTAGTTTGAGCTCCCTATGGGGCCACGAAGCGGCGGCGCTGCCGTGTGGACACTGGCATTGATGTCTTAGTTGGAGATCCCTACGGGGCGCGAAATGTGTGGGGTGATGTCTATGCAAAACCGGGACCCGACACCACAGGATGGTAGGGGAAAGCATGCGGCGCCAAGATCTCAGGGGAGGTGCGGGTTCTCCCGCTCCCGCCACTCTCCTAGAGAAGCAAGATCGGCATAACGATGCACTTTTGGAGGTCCGTGCGGACTTCTAGGATCTGCGCTAGACCCCCCCTATGGCGCCAGAGACCTTACCCCTGGGCTCCAGCGCAGATCCCTCCGAACATTTATGCTCATGCCGTCTTTTGCTCTTCGGTCTTCTCCTCGCCCCGGCCCGCCGGGCCATAGCCACCTCGTGCTCCCGCAGCGGGCGAAAAAGAAAGGTGCAATGACTCCAACGGTAGGACCCAGCATGATAATCCTCCAACATAAGTGGTTTTGAAGTACACGTCGGTCGGAAGAAGTAGGTAAAAACATGAAGTAGGAAGGCGGACAAGATGGATTGGGTCCAGGCCCCCCCAGAGAATAACAAAACACAGCAAAATAATTACTCACTTCGTGGAGCTCCCCATATGTGCATCTCATGGTTTATCGTATGCCGTAGTGAGCGTCTGTTCATGAGCGTTTGACTATAATAGCCCGTCCACGTTGGCGACAGGCCCGACGAAGACGAGTGCATCCTGATGCGGGTGAGTGAGTATGAGTCAGAGTGAGCTGAGTATGATTGAACATGAGCCGCTTCATCTTCACTCCCCCTCCTCAGCTGCCAGGCCGTGCCCTCCTCAGCCTGCGGTAACTTCGGAGCTTCCCAGATGTGCATACTCTTACTCCTCCTCCTCCTCCTCCTCCTTCTCCTCCTCCTCCTCCTCCTCCTCCTCCCCCTTTCCTCCATCCTCAAAATCTGCTATGAAAGCTAAGGATGTTGAGCACGAAAACGAGCAAACCGCCTGAAACATCCCCACAAACTGGCCGCGAACGGGCCCGTGATATATCCCCTGGCGGCTCCCCTTAGGGGTGCTGAAACCAGCGCCCCGCCTGAGACATCCTCACAATCTGCTATGCAAGCCAAGGATGTTGAGCACGAAAACGAGCAAACCGCTTGAGACATCCCCACAAACTGGCCGCGAACGGGCCCGTGATATACCCCCTGGCGGCTCCCCTTAGGGGTGCTGAAACCAGCGCCCCGCCTGAGACATCCTCACAATCTGCTATGAGTCTGTGTATGAGCAAGTCTGGGTATGAGCAAATCTGAATATGAGTAAGCCCGACAGGAGGGGAGGACGAAGGACGAGGAGGAGAGGAGGAAGAGCAGGAGAGGAGGAGGAGGAGAAGAGGAAGTAGGAGGCGCCCGAGAAATAATTATTCACTGCGTGGAACTCCCCATATGTGCATCTACTCGCATGGACCTGTCCGCCGTGAATGTTTAGGCGCAAGAGCTTTCGAATATACACGGGCTTCAGTTGTGACGGTCTGGACATCAATCTAACTGCGAATGAATTGGAGTGTGAATGAGCCTCAGTAGTACAAGCGCGTCTTTGTGCATGAGCCTCGGGCCTCCTGGGGCCTCCTGAAACCTACTGGGGCTTCCTGGGGTCTCCAGGAGCCTCTTGGGACCTCCTGGGACCTCCTAGGA